CATCTTGGGGGGGTGCAGTTTCGACTGTACTCCCCTATGTGTGTGTGCCTCTCCGGTCTCGGGCCTTCCCGGGAACCACCTACGCCTTCTTCTGGGTTGCCCGTGGTTGTCTCTATTCGGAGTCCCGCTATACCATGAGCTCCCAGGCCACTACGCCCAGCCTTGTCCGACGCATCCTTCTTACCCACCTCCTTTGGGTTCGGCACATCACTGGTGCAAAATGTCATTTCCCCTTGGCGCACCATGCTGTTTCCTTCGCGGCTCCTTCCCGCGCTATCTCGGCTGTTCGTCGCCCCCGCACTCTCTTCGCCCCCCGTCCCTTCGGCGGGCTTCTGGCGCCACCTCCCCCCCCGTTCACTGTACCTCCCGCTTCTCGCATCAGATTGCCCAGTCCTGTCTTCCTCGGACAACCAATGCGTGTGGTCGGCGTGAAATCATAACGATTGCCGGAGTTACCGACAATCCCCCCCTCATTAACTTGAAGGCCCAAAGAGGACTCACGGTTACAGATGTGGGGTTAGGTGCCTGGGGCGACTGGGGTGATTGGCCATTACTGGGGGCGCGGTACCGGCTCAGTGTGTTAGTCGTAGTACTTGGTCCGTCTTGAGTCGGCTTAGCCTTGACGCCCGCTGCGGTGGCTCTCTCACCTTACATTTGCTGTGACTGCCGCTATGCATGACGCGTCATCGCCAATGATTGCGTTGCGGTGATCAGCCCGGCGGGTTGTGGCGAGGTTGGCAGCAGCGCGTTTTTTGCGGCCTCGCCATTTCCCTTTATTTGGCTTTTCCTTTGGCACGATTTTTCTTGCAAAGCCTCTACGCGGTTCTTCGTTCCAAGCGCAGTTGGCGGGATCGCCTGATCCTCTCCCCCCAAGCCCGGCTGGACTTGGAGGCGTGGGTCAACATCCGCCGCTGCGAAGGCCGTCCACTCAACCCCGACGCAATCCCCTTCGCCGGTACTCTGGCAACGGACGCCAGTCTGACCGGTTGGGGGGCCACCTTTGCTCCCCCGGAGAGGTCCCGCCCCCTCCTTGCGAGGGGGTTTTGGGACCGTTCCTTAATGCACATCAATGTGCGTGAGATGCAGGCGGTGGAGCGAGCCATTCTCAGCTTTTTTCCGGCTGCTTCCCATGGCCTTCCTTCGAGGCTCAAGCTGCTGGTCGACAACCAGGTGGTCATGTGCTGCCTGCGCAGCATGACTACCCATTCCAAGTAGCTCCTCACCCCCCTTCGTCAGCTGCACCGAGTCTGTACGGCGCGCCACCTCCTGCTCGACCCGAACTATATTCGGTCGGAGGACAACGTCATACCGGACAGGCTGTCCCGGGTTCGGGTGGCGGACGACTACCAACTGCACCCGGCTATTTTCAAGCGCCTGACTCAGCGCTTCGGTCGCCGGTCGTGCGACCGCTTTGCTTCCGCGGCAAATTCCCTCTGCCCAAGGTACAACAGCCTGCACGCGGACGTGGGGAGTGCGGGGACGGACGCCTTTCTCCAGGACTGGACGGGGGACACCAACTGGTGCAACCCCCCTTGGTGCCTCCTTCCCCAGCTCGTCTCCTTCCTCGCCGCTCGGCCCGCCGTGGAGGCCGTCGTCGTCGCGCCGGATTGGCCGAGCGCGCTTTGGTTTCAGCCGCTCCGGACTCTTGCGGCGGAGGACCTTCTGATTCCCCGCCATCCGGGGATGTTTCGCCCAGGGGATCCGACTCTTCCGGCCCGCCTTCCTCCGCCGAAGTGGAACCTTCGGGCATTTCATGTCCGCCCTCGGAAGCCTCCCTAGGGGCGGGCGCTCTGTCACCCTCCAGGGAGATCGCGCTTCCCCCCGATGATCCGCTCCCGGTGGAGGCCATGCCGACTGATCACCCCCTCTACGGGCTGGACATCGACGGCATGCTGCAATCGGACTGCGCATGGATGCAGTCTCAGTTTTTGTCTTTCTACACGGAGTCAACGCGGAGATCCATGCAGGCCAAGTTTGCCAAGTTCCAGGTGTTCTGCGCCTCCGTGGAGCTCCAGGCCCTCCCCGCCCGCCCGGCCACGATCTACCGTTACATCCGGTCGGGTGGGCGTCCGCAGCCTCCCGCAGTACCTGGCCGCCATTTCCATGGTGCACCAGGTCGCCGGCCATCTGCAGTTTTCCGCCTTCGACTGGGTGACCCGTTTGCTCACCCGGTCCTGGCGTCGTCAATGCCCGGAGCCTGCAGCCTCTCATGCTCCGGTGCCGGCCACCTTGATGCTCCGCATTCTGGAGCGCGGCCTACACACCGACGACCTCCTCCTATTGCGGGCGTCGGTTTCCGCCCTGCTGGACTTCGTTTTCTTTAATCGGGCCCAGAGCGGCCATTTCATCCTGTTGGACGACGTGCGGGTGACGGATGGCGTTGTGATCTTCCGGGAGCGCAAGACCAAGCTCAAGCCCGATTCGGACCCAGCTGTCCGCCTCCGTTCCTGGCCTTCGCAGGGCGCCCCCGAGCTGGTGAATTTACTACTGCGTTGGGGCGCCTTTCGGGATCACGCCTGGGCGGATGCGGGTGGGACGCCGACGCATTTCTACACTCTCCCGGGCGAACGCGACCCGTCCTCCCGCACGGTTTCCTCCTAGTTTCGGGACCTCCTGGCCTCCTCTCCCGACCTGCACCGTGGCGCTTTCGATCACCATGGTCTACGCGCGGGTGGGGCGTCGGCCTGTTTCGCCTTGGAGGTGCCCGAACAGCGCATCCGCCACTGGGGCGACTGGCGGGGCGCTGCCCTCTGGCGGTACATCGATGTGTATTGCATCCCATCAGAGTGGGACTATCGCCTTTTCGGGTGGATGACGATTACCGCCCGGGACTTGCATGACAGGTATGGCCACATCTTCTGCTCCGGAGGAGCGCAGTGTGTTTGAGGGTGACTGGGCACACTGAGTTGTGGGTACCTTGGGTTGTATTGGGACAAACAATGTCGTGTAATGTATTGGTCCAGTGTGTGTGTGGACCTGGGTGGGACAAGGAGCCCGGCCCGGCGGAAATGGGATTAACTATCTTGTTAAGTGGTTTCCGCCCAGGGCGACGAGGGGCGGGCGCGCTAGCCCACTTGGGACAGCGCTGCTTAAAGTATAATGGTTTTGGCGGCCCCTTGGGGTTTCTGTCCCCCTGTACCTTGTAGAGGTGGCCACCCGGATCCGTTAATAGCGGACAGAGGTTAATTCCGTTAATTAATCCGTTAATTAACGGAAAATAACGGAAAAAGACAGAAATTACCCAAAAATTAACGGATTTTTGGATTTTTTGGGTTTTTTTGGGGTTTTTTCATACTTATAGTTTATGGAATTCGCTATAAGAGAACATGTTTGTATTTTATTTCAACCTATGCATACTAGACTTTCAACTATCCGCAGTTGTTGTGATTTTTTGGGTTTTTTTTCGATTTTTTTGGATTTTTTTCGTTTTTTCTGAATTTTTCTCCCTTTTTTTATAACGGAATTTAACGAACAGCTGATAAAAATTAACGAACCGGATATAACGGAGCGGATGGCATCTTGAGTGGCCACCTCTAGTACCTTGGGTCAGTGGCTGGTCCGTGGCGTTCAAGGAGGGCCAGTGGTTTTTGGCGCCCTTGGGAGCGGCGGGCTTTGGCGGGCGCGAGCGGGGAGGCTACTTAGGCTCACCCCTCGGTCCCCACCTTATCTTGTTTTGCTTCCCGCCCGGCCCCCCCTATTAGGGTGATGTTCGGTTGATTTGGGCAAGTGTGGGAGTTAAGCACGTGGAAATGAGGAGTGGTGGGTCTGACTCAAGGGCTGAGTCTTGTATGGGACTGGCTTGACTACTAGCGGAGCGATTGGGCACACTAAGTTGTGGGTACCTCGGGTTGTATTGGGACAAACAATGTCGTGTAATGTATTGGTCCAGTGTGTGTGTGGACCTGGGTGGGACAAGGAGCCCGGCCCGGCGGAAATAATATTACTGCCTGCACCAAGTCGGTGACTGCTTGCACCAAGTCACGTGCACACTGTGTCCTAACCTCAGTGTTAGGTTTAGTTTCAGGGTGAGTTTTAGGGTTAGGGTTAGGGTTAGGGCAGGTTTAGTTTTAGATTTTAGGGATTGAATTTTAGGTTAGGTAAGTTTTGGAGGCAGTTGGTGCTAGCAGTCACCGATTTAGTGCAGAAAGTCACCGATTTGGTGCAGCCGGCAATTGTATCCCGCGTGCATGCCGGGAACAGGGACAGTGCATGCAGAACATGCCACGCAGTTGTCGTCCGCAGTTTTTTGGACGGCGCCGGAAGCCAGGCATCGTGCGCCACTAGCCCCAAAGAAATGCCCGCAGAAAGTGCGCAAAGCTTTTCGAGGCAGCGCCCGCCCGCGGTCCATGCGCGCCAGGTTGACATTCGCTGGCAAAAGAAGAGAATCAAATACGGCGACTTGGGGCGACGGGGAGCACATCAGCGCCGCGATCAGGGATACTCTTCCGCCAGGGAGCCGGGAGAAGCGCCGGCTTCGCCCCGACAGACGCGCGGACGCGGGGGGAGTCTGCGGGTCGGCGCGGGACTCGACAACAGGACAGGAACTCATGGATTCGGCCCGGTGCCCACAGGTCGTGTGCATAGGGTCTGAGGCGCGGCCCAGCTCCAGCGACAGCGGCGCTGGCCAGCTCGGCGCCCCGCGGCGCCCGACGGTGTGCCGGGCAGGGAAGAGGTTCCCGTCCAGGCGGCTGAGCGCGGGCTCGCAGCCTCGCAAAGGGTGGTCGCGCTGGATTGGCGCCGGCGCATGGGCGGGGGCGGGATCTGGAGGCCTGCTGGTACGGCGCCGTGGTGGATCGCTGGTGGCCGGCGGGACAGACCGTTCGCAATTTGCTCCCTGTGTGCCGATTGGTGGCCTACTTGCGTTTGTAGGGCGTATTGGGCACGTTGTCAAGTCGAATGCCGTGGAGTGCCGATCCTGTGGCAGGCAGCGGGCGACCTGCCCGGTTGGCAATTTGTCGATGTTGCGGCCAACAGTCACGTTGCTTGGTTTGTGACTGCAGTTCGATCCCTTGGGCAAAGCACATGCTGCGGGAAGCTGGCCACTCAGAACCGTGTCAGGTACAGTCGGGGGGCGTTCACACTGGCTTGCAATGTGCAGAGGCTTCGTGGCAGCCCAAGTCCCCACTGTCTCCTTGAAAATTTGAGCGTTGGGTCTGCCGCCAGCCTGCTGATCCGCGTGGGAAGCATGTTCTCAACTTTTAGCCATCACCTCCCACTGTGTTGGTTCTTTTGACAAGCGCTGCAAGGTACATGTAGTCACGGTTTGCTTTTCTTTTCATGCCAGGCGTGTGGAACAGAAAGAGCAGGAGAAGGAGGGTGCTGATAGTAATGTCCAACACGGGTGGCGGGCACAAGGCTTCGGCGCAGGCCCTCAAGTCAGGGTTCCAGATGCTGTATGGAAACAGATTTGAGGCAGGTTGAGAATCACAATGATGAACGAAATGCAGCGTCAGAGGCCCGAGACCTGACGCGATAAGCACGTCAAGCGTGTGCTAGTTGATGCACATGCAATAACTTCACTTTAACAAGGAGTAAATCCAGGTTCCAATGCTCAGCACTTGGTGTTTGCCTCTCATCGGTTTGGCAAGATCCACTCCCTTTGTGCTCCCAGGATAGCACAGACAGGAGGCGTATTGAGCCTATTCTACAAAATTAGGCACATATCTTTGCAGCGCCCTGGTGGCGTAATGTTCTTGTTGGTATGCTTTATTCTACCAACGTCTTGTTCTAGTTGCACAGTTGTACTTGAGCATGCACAGTCACGTCAACAAAGAAAACTAATCTGTGTCCAAGAGACAGTCACAAAATCGGTGGTTACTCTCGGCAAGCTACAGCTCATTGACTGAAACCACACTCCTTAAATTGCAACGAGGTAACAGTACTATGCGTGCATTTGGAAACAATTTTGGCTAGTGCATGCCGTTCCAATATTGTCCCTGTGCCCCTACAGCCACCACTTAAGAAGCATTGATGTGTTGTAGTGCCATGGCCAGAATCAAGCTACTGTCGATCTATTACTGTTTGTGGGATTGGCCATTTTGCGCTGTGCTTTGGGCAGAAGTTGCATGGATAGCAGGTTGATGCAAAGCAACCCGAGCAACACCAATTGGCGTGTCTCTCAACATGTTCCTTGTGTTGCACTAGCGTGCATTGTAAAGTTCAAAACTGCTGCACTGCATCGCTTTGTCTGAGATGATGTGCTTGTGTTGCATTGGCTGCAGGTTGACATCGTCGATTTATGGACTGACTACACTACCTATCCATTCAACCAGATGCCTGGCACGTACAGTTTCCTTGTGAAGCATGCATGGATGTACTGGCTTGTCTTCACAATTTCGAACCCACGGTGGCTGCATACTGCTTACTTCACTTTCGTGTTGCTGTTTATCCATGACAAGGTGGTACAGATGTTTGAGCAATACAAGCCAGATCTTGCGGTGAGGAATTGTTTTGGTTTCTGTAGGATAATATTTCTACTTCTGCATTCATGTTGTGGCTGTCACAAGAATTGCTACTGTTTGGATGGATTATTCGCAATCCTATTGGGACCTTGCACATGGACATGTAATCTGGATGTCACTTGTCATCTGATAATCAGGGCTCAAGTGTTTTTTCAAGAAAACGTAGTGGCTTCGTGCCGTGTGTGCCGATAGACCAGTGTTCATTGAAAAGCATCATTGTCAGTCAACATCATGGATTGTCCCTCAACAAAAATGGAAGTGGTGCTCATTCAACAGCTCATACTTGGCAACTGTTACTTTATTGGCATGCCTTAAGAGCGTATGCCTCTCCTTGCTATAGAAAAGTGCAAGGTTTCAGTGCCATTACCTTTTTGCAGATGGCAATGCCTCTGGCCGTTGGGCTTCCTCTGGGCCACTGATAGACAACTGTAAGAGCTACCCCTGATGGGTACTGTGGCAGCATGGCAGCTGAGCGTCTGACCATGGGGGCATGTTGTCCTGTTGTTAAACCCGAAATTTTGGAAATCTGTATGTGTTACATAGATTTCTTGACAGTTGTTGCTGAGTAATTTTCTTTTCTCCTTGTTTGCTGGTGCACAATAGATGCGCTCAGGCTCAGGCAACCACTCTGAATCGGCTTATGTGCTTGTTGCACCTCCAGATTTCAGTGCACCCCCTCATGCAGCACATTCCCATCAGAGTGCTGAACAGCATGGTTGCCGCTGGGACTTATCAGCCGATTCCATTCACAACAGTCATCACCGACTTCACCACGTGCCACAACACATGGTTCCACAAGGGTGTGACACAATGCTTCGTGCCAACGGAACAGGCATACCACCAGGCCAAGAGACTGGGACTGAGAGATGACCAGCTGACCATCCATGGGCTGCCGATTAGGCCTGTGTTCTCTCGTCCTCTGCCTTCAAAGAGCACCCTAAGGAAAAGGCTGGTGAGCACAGGGACCTGCAGTGTAGAGGTTCAATAGGGCTCTTGCTTGCTAAATGGAGACCATAGTATGAGTACATACAAGCAGTATAGACACATTCTTTCCTTGCTGTGCCAGGAAGGCTTTTGAGTGGTGTGTGGATAATAGCAAACTGATGTTGTACCCATTGCTCCAGGGCATGGACAAGGACAGGCCAGCAGTGTTGTTGGTGGGTGGAGGGGAAGGCATGGGGAAGATCGAAAGCACTGTTGGAGCCATTGCCAAGAAAGCAGGCTCGCTGTGCCAACTGGTGGTCATCTGCGGACGGAATCAGTCTCTTGTCAAGCGACTGAAAGCTCGGACCTTCCCCAATGGCATGAAGGTCATTGTGAATGGCTTTGTCAACAATGTGAATGAATGGATGGGTGCCTCTGACATAATCATAACAAAAGCTGGTCCAGGAACAATTGCTGAGGCCCTGATATGTGGCCTGCCTATTCTGTTGAATGGGCATATCCCTGGGCAGGAGGCAGGCAACATACCTTATGTAGTTGACAACAACGTTGGGACGTTTGAAAGACGCCCAAAAAGAATTGCTGCCATCGTCAAGGATTGGATCACCAGCAAGCAGGGGGAACTGAAGGAGATGTCGAAGCGAGCGCGAGCACTGGGCAGGCCCGAGGTGTGCCACAGATAGCCGCGATCTTGTGTGTGCCTTTTGAGCTCATGTATCCTGAAGATGAAAAGTTAGCATGTGGTTCTGGGAGTTTGCAAGTTTCTTGATTTGCAAAAGGCTGTTTGTAGGTGCAAGTCGCATGCATGAGTCATGCACATCGATATAGGCTGTAGCGCACTTCGGGCCAAGGTGCTGAATTGCAGTTCAATTGCCTTTACTACCTCTCACACATCACTCCAGTCAATACTATCTTATTCTGTTACTGATTGGACTGCATTTTGACTTGTGCACACAATTGTGGCAGGCTCTCTTCAGGATTGTGGAGGATCTTGCGACTATCTGTAACGCACCACACTACCAACGGGAGCCACTGTTGGTGGGAAGTCCTGCATGATGACGTTTCGCCCCTTTGTATGTGCATGCGAGCCATTGTGGCCTGAGTGAGGACAGCGCTTCTTGGTGGATGGAGGTGACCCCTCGATTGGCTTGACAATAGATGGAGGTCTCAGCTGACCAAATGCAGGTGTTGGAACAGCTGAATATCAGCAGTGATGGTTGTATGGAGGACGCATGCTCCTGCACAGCATGCAGTGCCCATCCAAGGATGGTGGTTGACTTCCGGTCGTTCATGTCAGTTCTGCTGATGATGCGCTGGAGCATGTGCTATTATTATGTGGTCAATAGTTATGCAAGTGGACGCCTCAGAGAGCATTGGCATGGCAGTATCACCCCGGGTGCAGTTCCTGTCATAGATGACATGGTCGAACGTTGCATAATCCCTCCAATCTGCTGCTTAGGAGGCGAGCAACAAAGGCCAGAGACCCATTTTATATTGCAGTTTTGGGCAACGGGTGTGTTGCATTCTGTGAGGTGGCCAGAGTAGTGGCTTGCTGCATTTGTCCTTGTGGGCAGATACTGGACAAAAATCAGTTGTGATGCAGCTCTGATGCGAATTCTTTCACTGCACCACCTTTCAACTCGACTGTCCTGGACACAAAGCTTACGGTGGTTGCAAAATGAAGCCTACAACCATTATTGCAGTTTCGGAAGAAACCCATTGTATGATGCTGTAGTTGTTCAGGAAATTAGGAGTTGCTTCAAGGATTCGTTGACTTCTCATGAATTGCTGGACACTGCAGAAGACAATGTGTGCAGTCTTATGGGTACAGAAACTCAACCTTGTCCACTGAAAGCAGTTCAACCTAGTCCCATTCTTGTTTCAACCATGGTAAGCCTAGTCCAATGGCTAGGTGGTGGACTGCCTCGAAATCACTCCCTGATGCATCTGCAGTGTGCCATATACTTTGAGAGAGTGGATATCCAGGTATCCTGCCATAATTAACACCCTTGCAAGCAGGAGCACCACAGGTGCAGAGCATAAGAAGCAACACTGACAGTCACAAAGAAGCCCCATTGCGTGTGTTCCTGATGAGGCTGAAAATTTTAACATGCACTACATTTGCGACAGGCTGTGCGGAACCGTAACCCAAAGAAAATAAACGTCAAGGTTGTCGCTTTTCATGCAATGCGCAGCGACAAGGATGAACATGGAAACAAGCAGAAATATGTCCAGCGAAAGAAGCATTTATGCATCACAAGAGTGCCTTGCCCACCAGGAAGCCCTTTCAGTGCTGTGGTGCGTCGCTGTAAGGTCAGGATCATAACGTTTGCGTCAGTTGAGCATCCAGACCGGGTAGAGCATCAGCTTAAGCATTGACAAGCTCGAGCAGCCAAACAACTGCGCGCTTTTTGTCAACTGCATCTCTGAACTTGACCGCGATAACTGTCTCTGGGCGACGGTCCCAGTGTTTGCAGCACAGCTGCGGCGTCAAGGTGTCTCCTGCCCCGGATGCTGTCTTGATGCACCTGATACACCAAACTACTTGTCGGTTTCCACAGCAACCTGATTGAAACTACCCTGAAACGCCACAGGCAACAACGCATGACCGACCAGCGTAGCAAGTCCTTGCGCCGACGAAGGCCCAGGGCACAGCGGTCTTTGCGACGGTCAGCCTGCCGCCCCCACCGCGCTGCCCACAGACCCCTCTCCCCGTGAGCGTCTGGACGCTTGTGTTGTGACCTCCGAGCTCATCGCGACTGCTTGCTCCCCTGACGATCGAGCGCGTTGACCATCTGTCACCCCAATGTTCTAAAAGCGCTCTCGATCCGTCTTTTCCGCAGAGACACGTGGCAGAGCGCCAGCCGGACGCTCTGCACACTTCAGCGTCGGCGGGGCCTGTCGCGGCCCACCGAGCAACCCGCCCCATGGCGCAGGCGAACGCGGCAGGGCGCTTGCAGGGCTTCCTGGCGCCGGTCAGGGCCCCCGCCCAGCGGCCATGCAACCCTGCAGCCCGATGGCCCTCCTCTTGCTCCACTCCGTGCGGCCCCCGCTTAATGCGGCAGGCGTCGCCGCACGTGATCTCTGACGACGCGGTGGCGACGGTCGACAGCAGCGACGGCAGCGGGCCGCCCGGCGCCGGCCTGAGCACCGAGCAGGTGCATTCGCTGCTGGAGACGATCTGCGAAGAAACGGACATCATGGAGATGCGCCTGGAGGTTGGGGACTACGAGCTGAACGTGCGCAGGCGGGCGGGCGTGGCCCACGCGATCGCGGCGGCCACGCCCACGGCGGCGCCCCCGGCGGTGAACGGGGCGGCGGGGCAGCCCGCCACGGCGCCTGGCACCGCGACCATTGAGGATTCACTGGACGAGGAGGCGACGATGAGCATGAACGAGTGCCTGGTTTTCATCGAGTCGCCGAGGGTCGGGAAGATGCGGAGGGGCCTGTACAACAAGGCGGGGAGGAAAGTGGGCAAGGGGCCCCAGATCGGGGACTTGGTGAAGAAGGGGTCCACCTTGTGCTTCATTGAGCAGCTGGGCACGTTCTGCCCCGTGCTGGCGCCACAACAAGGGGAGCTGTCTGCGTTCATGGCGGAGGACGGGGCGCCGGTGGAGTATCGCCAGCCGGTGGTGGAGATGGCGCCCTACTTCGGGGGTCACATCATTGGGGACATGAAGTACGCCTGAGCGCGGAATTTAGAACCAGGGCTCTAAAATAGCAGGCCCATTGTAGAGGCCTGGGCTTAGCAAGGGTAACCGATGCTAGCTGGTGACTGTAGTCTCGTGCACTGGCGCCTTTGGCAGATTGTGCTTCTGGCCCGATCTCCTGTGTCCCCAGGGGGACAACAGACAGGCACTGGGACGAGCTGATGCTGTGGTCTGCACCACTAAAAGACGTTTGTGCCTTTGAAAACAATGCAGAATCGTAGCTTTTTGAGTTGTCACTTCAAGAAATGCTGCTATCCTGTTGTTTGCTTGTGGCTTTGTTTCTTTGTAATGACCACACCCCGGGTTTGGTATGGGGCAGGGGGTTGCAATTGCGATTGCCTGCTGTTTCAGGCTGTCCTCAACCCCTGGTGCCCCTTGCCAAGGTTGCTTCTGATTTCCCCGGTGTGTACGTAGGCATTTCACTGCCTTATGAACGAAATGGGTGCCTGTGCCTCGCCCTGCATGCACTATGACGTCGCTGCTCATGAAGTGCACCTCGAGGAAAAGGGGATAAGGTTTTCGCTTTTCCTTGTTCATTGAATACACAACCACAATACTGATGCAGATGTTGTACATCATAAGTAGCATTGGTATGGCATGGACCTGTGGGCGATGTCTGAAAACTAGAGCCCATCCCCTCTGCAAAATGCATTTTGACAGTATTAATTGGAGGTTCTGGAGTTACTGGCAGTGCTATTGTGTGCACTTCTTCTGTCAGTGTCTTCCTTCTGGGACGATGGCGGACGGCATCCGTCGCAAAATGGACTGCCAACCATGCGAAGCACGGCTTTGGTTACAGACTTTCATGACACTGAATGGCATTGTGCCCGTGGGGAGCAGCACACAAATTTGCTGCCTGAATGCTGGGGATACAAATGTCACAATTGCTCCAGTGTGTCGATGCTGCCATGACGGGAAGAACATTGTTGACACACCAAAAGGTCTTGTGTCCCAAATTCTGGAGGCTGACTTACAGTTGCATAGTGCAATAATTTCCCTCTGCAGGTTAGCCTAAACAGCTTGATTATGGCGTGCATGGCAAAGAAATCATACACTGTCACCCAGGTAGTTCGTTGAATGCCCGAACACTGGTACCAATGCACGCATTCTAAATGATTCCATTACTTGGATGGTGCATTCAAACGGTCCCATCTACGACGCTCTGCTAGACCAGTCGGCGTTGGGTGCAGGTTTTCCTACACAGGACAGGCTTGCCTGAATTGCATCTGGAATTGTCAAACAGCAGAACACCCAACTGATCAATGCATTCATAAATGCATGTTTTGCGCATCGTCCAAAAGTCATGGGAGTGTCCCACAGACTGGCGGCCAAGGGCTGTTGCACGCCGTTGCCTGCTTGCAAAGTACAATAGCACTCTTAAACGAGTCCTGGCGGGGCTAATATCCCCCTCAAAAAGGTACAGATAATCCAAGGCAGTCAGGACGGTCGCTTCCGACGTGACCAGTGGCCATTCCCCAAAGATTCATTTCTGAAAATGAACAGAACAGACTGTACAGTCTGTATTTTAAACATGTTCAAAATACCAAGGGACTAAATGGTGGCATGCACAGTATGCACGTGTTTGGGAAAGGAATGGTCTTTCCATCAGCTGTGCGCATGTTCACATAAAATCCCGTTGCCTTCCCTACCAGTGCCATCATCAACAGATTTTTCAGCAACGTTGGCGCCCACGGTAGAAATCCTGACCCAGATAGGCATGGCATCCTGAATGGCGGATCCACACAGACACCAGCGCCCTCGCTTTGGCGCCAACTGTCATTGGAGCGCACAGCAGTTCCCTTCGGTGCCAGGCTTGGGAAATACGGATACGGTTTAAAATGATAATACGGGAAATATGCGTATGGTCACGTATTTTTATTTTGAGCCTAAAAATACGGTAAAAATACCACAATATCAACCTTCATGACATGCAATTCATGCCCGACCCATCCATGGCATGCTCACCCCACTACCCTTACAACAGCAACTATGTCAATAAAGAACCTCTCATCCTCAACCCACCCGCGAGCGCCAAGTTGCCAATTGCCCTTGCAGCCTCAACGACATGCAGATTGAATCAGTTAGCATCCATGTCGCTTGGCAGACGGCTTGGTGCTGCTGCCCTTCCTTGTCACTTCGTTGTACCGTTTCCTTTCATGGCGCTCCTCTTGCTGGCGTATCATCACCTCCCTAACAGCGTCCAACACGTCCCCACGGCACGCAACCACCCTAGATCCGGTGCAGCCGGCCAATGGCAACGCTGGCACTCATCACCACCCGTCACAACGACGCCACAGTATATACACGTACCACGTTGGGGTGTGACGTCCGTGAAGTGCTTTGCAGCATGGGGGACCTTTGGCATCGCCACTCACTCCTCGTCGCCGTCCGCAAAACACCCAGCTCCCTCGTAACTTGCAGGTCGCAAGTCTGTGGGATGCAAGTTGCATATCTCACACATTAATTCGTCAAATAGTAGGCATTTATTGTAATTGATCAAAAATACGCTTAAAAGTACGCGTATTTTAAATTTTTGACAAGGTAGGCGTATTATTACGTACCTTTATTAGACCCGGCCGTATTCCCACGCCTGCTTCGGTGTAATTCATTGCCATTCCGACTATCTTCTCTTCCAGCCGCAGTCGTTTGTGACTCAGTCAAGCTGTTGTATATCGCTGCCACAACTGAAGAGGCCGACATTGTGCCCACCGCCAAGTGGTTGTTACTCCTTCAAGGTCATTCCGAGTGGCTCGTTGTGAAAGACAGCCCGGCCTTGGGCCATCTTGTCGATGTTCAGGCTGGACACCGTGCCGCCACCCCCAAACGGTGGTGTGACTGTTGGGTACCCACTCCGCGATCCGAGGCGGAAAAGATACCGCAGTGCCACGAACGCTTCGTCTTGCTATGTTTGCCGCATTATCCCGTCGAACAGGAGTTCATTGATGCAGCGCTGCTCACTGATGGCTATTTCGTTTTCTGCTCGTGTCAGCAAGGTGTTTCAGGCTAGCGAATTGTTCCTCTGGCCTTCCTGTTGGGCCCTAATACGGTTTAGGTGGCAGCTCCATTGCAACAACAACGGTTGCTTTATCGTCGTCATCCAGTTGTCGCCGCTGCTGGCGGTGTCTTGTCTCGGTGGGTAGCATTGTGCGCTTTACCTTTTTCAGGCGCTTTCAGACGCGCTGTCGTGTGTCCTACCTCCGCGATGGTTGCATGACCTGGGTGTAGCGCCCTATGTGCCAATGCAGCGACAACGAAGACGGTCGTCAAGCGTGTCCATTGGTGTTTGATATGGCTTCCGACTTCACCTCCGGTTGTTGTGAATTTAGCCTTCGTTGGCTCCCGCGACTGTTGCGTGGAGAGCCTCATTGTATCTTGCCATGGTAGCCATGGCATTGCTTCATGTCGATCCCCACACTGTGCTGGGTTCCCGTATGTCTTCATCACCTGTTCTCTTCCGCGAAGTCGTGCCAAGGCCCTTGAAAGCGCCTTTGGGAAATTTTCCTTCTGTCAGGCGATGAAGCAGCGTCAATTGTGTTATAAAGTGATAAAATGACCCTAGCCCGGAGCGCATGCACGACGCGATACGTCTAACGCTCACAACACCGCTCACTAAACATGGTCAATGCTACCTTGCCTCATGCCGCCAAACTTGGCCAGCATGGAACATGACAGAAACCAAGTTCCTTGTCCTGTTGAGGATACCTAGCTCTGCAGCTCAAGCTCTATTTAAAGGTGACATGAAGTGGTGCGACAAATTTGGCTCATGTCAATGTACTGGGATGTGGGGCCCCACCTGGTTCCGTGCCAGAAGTACTGCGGATCTCAAGAAATCATCGCAACCAACGCCCGCATGGAAGCCTCACGTTGGAACGGGCGGCACCCACGAAGGGTATCGGTTTGCACGTGGGGGCCTCTACCGCGCAGGGAATACTTGACGACGGGGAGGCGCCGCCAAGAGCCCAATCATACCGCCTAACGTCGTGCTCACCACCGTTTTCGTTTCGGTCCTGTGCGCAAGGCCGCTCGCAGCTGCACGTACCGTTCACGGCGGAGAGTGCCCTGCACAGATGGAAAGATGAGCGACTCCGGCGAGCGTGGGCCAGATGAACACGCACAGAATCTGGCTCTGTTTCCGAACTCTCATGCAGAAGCTGGTGGGTCGCTGGAAGATAGTCAAACAAACGGCTTCACTCGCAAAAAAAGGACCAAATAATACTTTTGCGAACACACATAAAACACATTTCATCAAAGCTCTGCACGCTAAGAACACAAAAATAAACCAAACCCTTAAACTTTGTACACGTTTGAACACGTGTTATATGGCCCTTTTTTCCTAGTGCTTTGCATGCTCACGGCCAAATCGCCAGCCTGTGTCAGTGAACAGCGAACTTACGCTTTCTGCCTGAATAGCAAATTCTTGGACAAAAAGAATCTCTACAGTCGCTCTCTTGTGTCCCCTGCACTGCTGCACTATCCTGCCTATCTGCGTTCACAAAATTATGCGGTCTATTTGGTGGTCGGCTGTTGTGAGATTGAGGCATGGCAGGAACGCCGATGCCAAAGATGCAACAATGGTTTGCCCTTTTTCAGTGATTGAAACTGTCCAATGCTGTGTACGTCATCCTCAAGATACTGAAACGGGCATTGAAGCTTCTAGAAGCCATTTCAGACATGGGGCCTTGAAGTCAATAACTTGTCGTGATCTGCTTAGGCGTGACCAGCCATGCGTTGAAATTCGCATGTATTGAACTTGAGAGACGCGGGTCTGATTCATTGACTGTTGGCTGGTGGGTTTGACCGCTGTTTCGAAAAGCCCTCGCTTGGATCTGGACTCCAAGATCTCGATGTGCTTCATTGAGGACTATTCGCAATTGTAATGTCTCATGAATAATTGAGTTCACCGTAGAGCTAGAGGCGCCAGGCACAATGGAGAACAGCATCACTAAGAATGCAAGGACACTGTTTTTGTGCATAGATTT